GATTGTCGATGTGACGAGATATTCCACTTCCAGAGTGAATCCTATAACTTTTTATGGGATGCGTGATCAATCAAAGCATGATGCTTGCTGAAATTATAGAAGCAATTAGCATAACATGTGCAAACGACCTCCTAATTGGTTGCTAGCTCGTCCATTATCGGAGGTCAACGGGCAAAGAAAGGGGTCCCATTTTGCGCCTTCTTGACGGATTTCTTTGCTTTTTTCGCCACTGGGGCATTATTCAGCATCTCCACTTCCACTATGAACCCAGTCCAAACTTATCGTAATCCCTCGCTTTAAGTTTTATTTGTAATTACTGTTCAGGGCTTTATTGATAAATCGGTGTTCCTCAAGGCATTCCTTTTCCTTTTTCCTTTTCGAAACATTCCTCAATCTTTTTGATGCTTGCTTTTGCAGTAGAACCTGGTAGGACCTTGATTTCTAGGCATCAGATTGAAAAAGGATTCTTCTAGTATTCTTCCTTTCAAAACTTTGACCAGCGTCAGCTTACTTACACATTGACAACAGCATGGCGCGCATGCGCGTCAGATGTGTGGGCATGGTTTTCCTCGATTTACTTGGTATTTTTCATACTAGGAAAATGTCCGTCTACCATTGTTCCAGAAAATACCAGCTCATTCTGCTTACCGGAACTATTGGAAAAGTAGTGCTGTTTTAGAAAAATATTGAAAAAGGTACCGAGAAGCAGGTTCAAGGCGCAAGAGCTGTCGTCAATGTGGTAAACTCCACTAGTCAAACACTACAGAGTGACCAATGGTACTGTTTTGCAGGCCTTGATACAAGAGAGACGGTAGCGCTGTAGCTGTTATGATGTTTGCGGTATCACTGGCGCTTATCGCTTATTGACCTCAACACTATCGATCATCTCCTCATTCTGTTAGTCGCTTTTCAACCTAAATACTTCGTATTCTCACGTTTATGTAGTAGTTAAATAGTAACTTGTAGTTATAGAAAAATCAATGTATTTTTATAGTTAGAATCCTCGCGTAGTGTAGAAGAACGAAGTAATGAGTCCTCGAAAGCCAGAAGGATTCTTTAGAGGGATGTCAGGTGATCAGATGCCATTACTACCTGGTTCACCACGCTATGATCCTATGATTGGGCCTTTTGCTCAGCATATCTCCTTAGCAAAACCGACGGCGAATGGCGATGTGGACGACAAGCGCTTGAAAATTCCCAAAGGGTGAGCCGTTTTTGCGTTCTGAGACCAAAAAGTAGAGTAATTCAATAATTCTTAGCTCCTACAGCATTTGTGTTGAAAACAAATCGTTGCTAACGAAATGAATAAATTGGCTTACGATCAGTCTTAGCAGGATGCCCTCAGGAACTTTGAGCTTCACCTTACAGACCCCGTATAGGTGGTAAAGTAACATGCAGCGACCAGGGCCACTAATCTAGAAACGACTTGATTAGGGCAAGGAATCTCTCAATCAGGAAAGTTAGTTAAAATGTGATCTTCCATTACGACGCTCTAGGGCCCGAACCCCCACCTCGCTATGACTGGATTAAAGGGCGACAGAAATGGAAAAAAGTCCTAGTTAATCAGCTATTCAATGACTCTCACGCCTTACGTCCATTCCCTTCTTATCATCGAAGCCAGCGCTAGTCAACGCGCTTTGCAATTTCTATTGTAAATCTGAGAAGCTGAGTCAAAAAATGTCCGAATTCGGATTCCAGAAAAATATTATATATCACCAGAAGAGGGTACTTCATTACCGAATACAATTTTTTCTGCTTAAAAAGATTATAGAATTCGGAAACAGACAGGTCCGCACTCATGTACTTCTGTATTATTTGTCCAGAATAAAAGCTTGAAAACGTAAAAAAAAATTCCGCAGAACGATACAACCTCCAATATTTTCTTGGAAAAGTGCACCGCGGCCGATAAACTGAGAGTAGGAAATATACCGCCAGTGAAGAAAAAACGCGAAGGGTGCCGGCGAAAACTTCCTGAATGAGTCCAGCATTCGTTTTGTGCATTGCACAATAGAAACAACTGACAGCGACTGTAGGTGGACGGTAGCCTCGAGGGAACGAAAGGCGCGCAAACACTAATTGTTAACAGTTATAATATCTTGCTACAGAGAAATGGTGCATTTCAGGTGTGATATCTGCTGGACACAAATTTCTGTCTCTGGTCCAAGCCAAAAACCGACAACATTTCGAGAGAAGTTTCTCTCCCGTCGCTCTCAGAAGCGTTGCGAGATCCTTCATAAAGGTATGATTAGAGGCATTGCGTCCGACCAGAGTCAACCCTGCGTTGCGCAGTTCTCAACGGCCACGTTGCGCAGTTTCGCCCGATTAGACACGTTCTCTCGCGCGAACATTCACACTCGCATGCTCGAGCCGTCTGCGTCTCCGCCCATACAGCGTGCGTTGAGGATCTCTCAACGTGCCGTTGCGAACTGCGCAACGCAGGGTTGACTCTGCTGTCCGACTCTCCCATCCTCCTTTAACACGTTGACGACCGCGCTATTTTTCGCTGTCTGGCGTGTGGGACCGCGCGCATTATTTTGACCGCGCGAGTGTGACATGACATCATGTCACACGGTCCCACGAGAACTCCTTTTTCTCAGGAAGTGTGTATTTGTTATCTTTCTTGTGTGGTAGGTCTCCGATTATGCGATTTTGGCCATTTTAGCGATTCCTGTGATTTGATCATTATTCAAACATTTTTAGAAAAACTCGATAGCCCATCAACCGAAGCTTCTTTCCAGGGACCACGCCTTTTGTAACAATGCCTAAGTATGGCGCATACATCACGTAAATAAGTTACCTAAAATGTTTGAAAACCAGCTTAAAAAAGACTGTGACATGACATCATGTCACACGGTCCCACGTGGCCGAAAGAGTGTGGTATGACATCATACCACACGGTCGTCAACGTGTTAAATTCTAATCTGTTAAGTATCTATTGCTCCCCATTTATCCCAAAAAAAGGTGGTGGTAGCACATTCTGAGGGCTGTAGCGATCTAATGGTAAGGGGTGCCGCTTATCACGCAAACGGTCCGAGCTACACCACCTTCAGCTGAGTCGTAGATAGCCTTAGCTAACTGAGCTTTCATCTCTGCGATTCGAATAGTGGTAGAAAATTGTCTGAGAGGATAAAAATAGTGATTTGCTCATAAGCTGGCTTCCGTTAGTCATTATGTAGGCCAAATTGCATTCAAAATGACCCACCATCTTGAAGAAGTGGAATGCAGGGCGTATCCCAAAAAGATACTGATCAGCATTGATGACATTGTTCTCCCACAATTTGACCAAAATTAAAAAAAGTAAAAGCATTTGCCGTTGATCAATCCCTTTTTGGGATGCGGCACGCATTCTACTTCCATTTGTACATTCGTAGTGGCGTTTGAATGCGATGTGGCCTATACAATGACTTGCGGGGGCCAGCCGATGTACAGTGTTTTTATCCTCCCAGACAAGTCTGGTACCAATTAACCGACCCCGGAGGGATGGAAGGCTTGGTTGGCCCGGGCGACTCACGACCCAGGATTTGATCCCCGGACCGCTCGCGTGGTAAGCCACTTGCCACTTGACCATCTTATCATCATGAAAAGTAAGCGCTGCACAATATATTCACACTTGCAATCTATGTGAGACCTGGATAATGAAGTAAGCACTTATGTTCTTTCCATTCCTTTGCGTGACCAAAGCTCAGGGTGAATAGCGGTCGAGAAAATCCTTGTTCATGGCTCAGTTCTGTGTGAGAATAGTGTCAAGAGTGAGTGTGGCACAGACGGCTCGCGCATGGCGAGAGTGAATGTCCGCGCGGGAGAGCGTGAGTGAACAGGCGAAAATCCTCGACGAGTTGTCGACGAATCCTCGACCGATTTTCTTCCTGTATTCATGTATTCGTTTCGTTGCGTATGCTCCATTTCATTTGTTGTAAGATATCCCTCCCCGCTCGTTCGGGACTTCTGAGATCATTCATCTTGTGCCCTCGGCCACGGCTGCGTAATTAGGGCGAATTTGAAGGCACGGAATTTCCTTTACGAGGCCGGCCGTGGTAAGACGGAGAGACACAGCGCTGCGAGGAGAGGGAAGAACGCGAGATAGTACGTCGTACGCGAGAGGGCACAGAGATCGCGTATGCTGTGGTTGATAAGAACGGCAGCACGGCAGCACGTAATTTGAAGGTGCGGGTTCGAGTCCCGCCTGGGGCGAAAGTTTTGTTCACAACCCAGCATTCTTGTGAAACATTCGCAACGCGAACTGCGGCGTTAAAACAGCAGTTAACAAACAAAACAAGTCAAAATGCTCAAACATATGTTTTTCTGAATGGATTTATAGGAGAGCTTTTGAATCCATGAATTTCAGTTAGCGGTGTGGCTAGAACTGGAAGACTTTTGGCGATAATGGGAAGCAGGTGAGCTCGTTTGTTAGCAAATGCCATACATAGCTGAAAGTGAAATTCGATTCCAGTGGAGCAGGAAAGACATCGCTTGCTGAACGTACTCACATCAAGAAACCTTTCCGGATTGGACGTTAGCGGCTTCGTGACCGTGGACGGAAGCTGTGTAAGCAAATGGAGGATGAAAGAGGTACGCACCACAAGGTTTCCACAGTAGCAAAAAAATATAAATAAACAGACAAAAAGTCGCTCTTGACGATGGGGAAGGGATGACATCACAGGCTTTGAAAAACCGCTGATAGGGGACACTAGGACTAAGCCCAACAGAGGGGAGGGACGGCGGGGAACGAAAATTGCTCAGATCATCACCCAGAATCTCTTCCACTCCCTGAAGCTTAGTTCCAAGTACTGTGAGTGGCTCACTCACTTGACTGTAATCCCCGCCCCCACCAACGACGCGAGTGGAGACAGGAAACACGTAAAACCAAAAAGCTAATCCTCAGTACGGTTGATCTACGTAGTGTTCCTCTAGTTCTGCGCGATCCATGCTGTAGCCGCTCTGTTCCAAGGGTCATTAGTTGTAAACCTCGACCAGTGCCAATCTTTGGCGGCAGCTTTCCTGGTCTTGGGTCGCTGATGAAGTTTGAACCAGCGGATTCCCTTCTGCGCTGTCGAACCTTGGAATGATCCTAACATCATCTTTTGATGGCCTTCGCTGCTCCCCGAAGATTTTACATGCTCGCTCATCCCGCTATATGCTCATATTTCTGCCCTGCACTGAAGATTGGTCCTTTGTCGATTTAATTTTATAACCGAACCCAATTTCACATGGCTGGAGCATGAAAAAAAATTCAGAACTGAATGAGAATTGAGCAACAGGGACCCAGTCTGTTTCTAAGAAGCAGTTTTGATAAGGTTCGCTGCAAACCGACCTTTCCACACCTGTTGCCGAAATCAGCATTCATTTGCTCTGCTTGCTCGATGTTCGATGTTATAAGCATTGAAGCAAAGGTGATGTGGTTGTCGACTTCTTGTTCCTTCCAATCCGCCGCTGAATTGGGCCATAAGATCTTTGATGGATTTCTCCGAAAAGGTGTCTGTGCATTCGAATAGTAGGTCATCACTGGAG